AGGATTTATTTCTAAAGAACTTAATAACCATTGCATTTCACCTTGACATAAATTAAACGACTGTAATAAAATAAGGATTAATTAATAAATAATACAAACTTAACACGATAATAAATTTTTAGCTTTAGTATAATGAATAATTTTTAGTAATTTAAGAGTTGATTATATAAGAAGATAGATTCTCCAAACTCTTCATTATTGAGTAAAATGTAAAATATTATCAAAACAACTAAAAAATAAGGGCTGAAAAAGAAATTAAATTAAAATCTTTCCAAATTACTTTATGTTTTTATTTTGTTATATTAATTATACAATTAATATATTCATGAGGAATCATCTAAATTCTTCATCAATTTAGCTTAATTTTGTTTCTTCATTTTTTCTAAAATAATTAGATAAATATATCTATTTTTTACTTATAATTTTTCTATACTAGTTACTGTAAATTTTAGAATCGCTAATCTTTTCATTAAATAATATGGCATAATTTTTCTGTAAGAGCAATCTTTTGATATATATTTGATTCAGTTCAATGTTATTCTGGAATTTATAGACTTCACTGTAATTCCTCGTAATATGAGTAAATTAAAAAAATTTTTTGGATATGTAGATTGGCACAATAGTCAAATGTTTTTAATTAGTGCAAAAAACTCACTTTAGAATCATTTAAATTCATATAGAAGCTTCAATTATTTGCCAAATTTTTCACTAAGCTTGTTAGCTATTTCAGTATTTCGATAAATTAGAAGATAGAATTTGTTTAATTCTAGTTTTAAAAATAAAAATGAAACAAAATACTTGCTTGATTTGGACAAAAATTAATCTTGAATAATTAATACATGGCTCTGAAAACATATATATTTTCACTTAATTGTTTTAAACAACCAGTAATTTAAGAATAAATAATAAAATCTATAGCGTAGAATGTAATAATAAATTTACAAAAAATTAAAACTGTAATTAATTAAATTATGTTGCAATTTTGAGGATTGCATTAAGGTATTTTAGGAAGATCTAAGAACAATTTGGAGAGAGATTAAGTTATTGAGTTTAGAATTTGAAGATTAGAAGTGGTGTTATTATAAATAAAATGGTTAACTTGCAAATTCAAATTATAAAGTATTCATAATGAATAAGCGTTAATAGTAATATATTAGGAAAAACTCTGCTTATTTTATTGAGAGTGCAGATCTTACAAGCTAGGCCCTTTAGGTATCCCATTAATTTGTAATTACATCAGCAGAAATAATTTTAATTGTAATGAGGGATAATTATATTAGATTGGTTTGTCAAGAAGGCAGATAAAGGAAAAACTTTGTTAAATGCTAAAAGTAGTTTTGTCGGAGGTTATGGAGCTTTCAAAAAGGCAAATTATAGCTTAAAGATTATCGCGTATTTACGGAAAGTAAAAATTAATTAATGTCTTTTGATATTACGTTTGTTTGATTTATGGTTTATATGCAGAGCTAATGGCATTTTTCAGAGGGAGAAATTTAAGTGTTCAGTTAATGATTGGAAATATACCTTTTACAACTTTGAATTTATGTTCCCCACAACTCCCCTATGAGCTTAGTATTAAGTTCGAAATTTTGATGACGATAATTTAAATGCAATTTTAACCCAACACAATAGGAATTTTGGGCATTCAGAAATTTTAAATTGTCTTTTCGAAGATGTGAACTAGTGTTGCAATCAGGTTTTATTTTAAACATTATTCTAGCTTTCTTGAATTTGAATTAAATTTAGAATCTTATAATTTGATATAAGATTCAAAAAGGTTATTAATATAAATGGTAACCAAAGTAAGTTTTTTGAACAAATATAATAAGTCATACAATAGTTTCTTTTGGACAAATGTTGCCGCAAATAAGAATAGATAAACTTCCTTGGAAGGTTGGACATTGGATGAAGTAGAAAATGCTGAGGCAAATTATGTTTAGGAGTGTAACTCTTGGGGGTTTTGGCAAATTAAAAGAAAAAACTAATTTTTGGAAGTCTTCATAAATTTACTTACATAGAAGGAGTAGATCTTTGTGACTAATATACTTTTGCAAAATAAGGAGCAGGATAAGCTGAAAGGATAGTTAATATTAAAATTAACTTTCCTCCTTAATTTCCAAAAGCTGAGGTCTTTATGAAGACAGCTTTGGATGAGCCACTAAAATGAATTATGTTTCATTGAATGAAACATAATTCACTGGGCCAGGATAATCTAACCCTACATCATGTGGATAAGAATCTAACTTTGTCAATTGTCAATGTAAAGAAGGTTATAACGCATTCTTGGTTATGATTAGTTAAATGGATGACTTTGAAGAGATTTTCTCTAAAAAAAGATTAGAATTTCTAAGGATTGCTTTGATTTATTACCTTCAAAAGTCTTAAACCACTTTCAACTTTTGCCAAAAAAGAAGCTGTTTTATGATTATCAAGTTTTTGGCTAAAACTAAAGACCAGAAAATTAAAATTTCCTTATCACTTTCAACTGAAACTCTAATTATGAAAAGTTCTAAGTTTTAGTTAAATGCAAAATTGTCCTTTAAAGATCCTTCGACGATTAGCACTTCAGAACAAGGTAAAATCTGCTGAGGGTCCTTAAGTACTTGAATGATCTATTTTTTAATGTCGATGTCATTTTCGATCACAAACTCCTACTGCCAACATGTTTTCTACCTTGAAACAAATAACTTTCCATCACTTACAAGAGTTAACATTTCTTATAACCTTCTAGGAAAAATCATCTCGGTCAAATAAATCTATTAAGATTCCTCCTGGTATCACTATTCATGAATTTAAAAAGTTTTATAAAAGAAAATTTCTAAAGTCAAGAGTGCTTAGAAGAAATCAAATCTACTTTCATCCAAACAAAATTTGACAAGTGCAAGGCTGATGATTTTGTCCTTGCTGCAATTCAAGACATATAAGATTTGATTGATTCAGGCATTGCACCAGATTAGCCCGTTGCTAGTGGGGCCGAATGACGAAGGCGC